TGGGATCAAATACAAAGGGATGACTGAGATTTTGACATATGTCAAAGTTGAGCATAACAAAATTTAAAATATTAACATGAATATATGACAAAACCAACAAAAATATATTAAGAAATGGATAAGGTAATTAGAAATACACTTGAGAGATTTGCACATGTATAATGAGTAGTAGAAAATCCCCCAATTAGACGGGCATATTAAGCTTATGTTGAAAAACTAGGAGGGAAAATTTATACCTAAAATAACACATTGCAGTTATTCAAAATAATTTATTAAGAAGCAATGTAATACTCCATACCATACTCAACAAGATTGAACGAAAATTGAGGTTAAAAAAGACAACCCCATAATTAGCATAAAGGGAATGATGATGATGATGATAATTTGTGGTGACCTCATCATTCATGATAATTTATCGACATATTGTATATATGCGTATGTCATTAAATCCAATGATCCAACACTCATATGTGATATCATATGTCGGTTTCAATGTAGCATGGAAAATATCTAAATTCTATTGAAAGTTAAGGCTTATATCTCTTCTTTATGCCACTTTTCTACTATATTCCACAAAAGAGTGTTCCTATATTAGTGATATGAAGGTTTTAACGTCCAATATACATGGGTAAATCCCTCTAGTTTTAAATCATCACATGCAAATGTTGAAACTACATTAACTCTTCAATGTTACTCTACAACAATAATTGATAGAAAAGATTAACATGTTTTCAAATAGGGATTTAAAGGTAAAATGAAATCAGTAGAGTGTAAAGAATTCACTTGTGTGTAGATCAGATATAGGACAATTGCCAGTTGCAGTTGCACAAGCATCATCCAAATTCTTGCAAAAAAGCAAATTTTTGGGATGGTTTGATGTGTATTTATGCTCTCCACAATAATTATGATGAAGATATTGTCATTACCACTTAAAATGCCATGAGGGCATGACTATTGCAAGCCATTCTTAGTTGTTTTTTCTTCCCTGGACTGCAATTGCAAAACAACTGGAATGTTGATTCTAGAACTCTAATTGGAACGTATATGTCCAGTAGTCCAGCAGAAGTGATAATGAAAATGATATTTATTCCCTTTCAAATATGAGGCTCCTTTTGACAAGGAATTTCTAATACCTACCAAACTTTTCAACGATTAAGTGACGGAAGAAATGTTGATAATACTAGTTTTAATAAATATGCCTAAAAGAAGCATGAACTGCAAGTTCACCAAAAAAAAAACTGCAAGTTCACCAAAGGTGCCCTAACATATGAATTCATTCATGATGTGGTACCTTGTACTTCCAAAGTAACAACATTAAGTCCACAAAACTTCTCTAGAACTCATCTTTTGACATCACATTTTGGCATATTAAGCCACATTCTTTAGAAAATGATGCTATAGATAGTCACAAATCGACTAATTAAGAGTCTTTTGGGGAGAACATTTTCACCGCTTCGTTTTTCAAATTGCTATCACACTTTTATTTTGCTAGTGCTTTCCAAAATTTTGTCGGTTTGAAGCTTCTTTTTATAACCAGATCTACTAATGTCTAGTAATTGTAAGAAATTTGTTGTATGATATTTTTCAAAAAAAAAAGAACATATTTATAATACCCACAATAACTTTCAAAAAAATTATTTTCTTCACAACAATTTTAAAACCACTTTTACAAAACAGATTTAAAACCACTTTTACAAAATGTTGCAGCCACCCCAAACAAAACAAAAGAGCACACAACTTAATTTTGTGAACCATACAAAAATTTAAAATCTTCTGCAATACTTCAATTGAAGGATATTTCTCAATGTTACATTTCCACATTAATAATAACAGGATGCTTAAAAAACGTTATCAATCCTTCCACTATAAACTCAAGTGGATGAATTTTCTCAATAAGAAAAATTACCGTACAGAAACTACTAGCACTATTGGGTCCCAATAGCTTTTTAGTTTTCATGGAAAAAAATTATAAATAGGTGGTATTTGGACCTGCAAATATTCATGACGGACCATTTCATCTTAACTACTCTTAAAAGGAGAAGATTGTAATGGCAACACATATCTACCATTCCATCTTTGGCACATCTCAAGTTGAATTCTATGCATACGGACAAAGAAATGATGCTTACATAATATTTAGTATTTTACAAAAAAAATTAAAGGAAAAACAAGAATGAAATAGGTCAAATACTCCTTGAAAAAACATAAAATAATCCAAGGATGAACTCCAATAATAAGCTCATTACACCCCATCCAAAATAGCAGAAAATTATTCAATCATGTTTTGAACACATAACATGTCATACTGTTGTACAATCTTAGATAAATCATTGCAAGGTAGCAATAAAACTAAATGGGCCTAAAATGTATTTTTAACTTAACGATAACATCATTCAATTTCATGACAAAAAGAAGAAAAGAGTCAAAGGGGTATCAAATAGGAACTAGATTGTATTCCATGATACAATAAGACCTCAACCAATAGTCATTAGCTCAGCCTCATTGGTTGATATGAATTTCAGTTATTGGTATTAAATGTGAAAATAACTAGGTGAATAAAGTAATGCTATCTTGAATTGCAGTAGCAAAGTCATTTCCAATCAAGAAATGAATTGCAACATCATTCAAAATCTAAAAAATAATACAATGTCACAGTGTCAAGCTAAGCCAACGGTCAATGTAAGATATCTAGAAGAACAGCTGCAAGAGATTTTAACCACTCAATTTTCTTAAAAAATAACATGATCAAAATAACTGTCAACTATTAAGAGCAATTACCTCTTTTATATAACATCAATAAACACCACTGCCACATGTGACAACACTTTAAAAAACAGCCAACAAGCAAAAGACGGTTCTCACAAACTAGCCGGCAAAAAAAAAAAAGAATTCAATTGCTACTGTTGTAAAGCAAAATTAAAAAGATTTAGTCCTCTCATTTGCAAAAGATGATAGTAACTTAGAATCTTCAAATTAAAAAGGAAAAAAAATAGGCATTCCCACATAAAACTGTATAATCCACGCAGCTTTTAAACCCCATGCATTACAAAAACAGGTTGGCACTTTCTATAAATGAGTTCTCATTGCATATCATCAAAATTGAGAAATTTTAATGCCTTCGTTAATAATTTTTTAAACAAGTAAAAATTCTATAAACATTCTTTTGGTTTTTGAGACAGAGCATGCAAAATCCTTAAAAAGAATAAATCTCCCTCTTCACAGCACATGCACACTAAAGTTTTGCAAAAGAAATAAAATGACAGATATTTCAGCTCTCATCCAAAGAAAAATATAGGGAAATAATGGACATACTAATTTCTCCTGCAGATAAAGGATTACTGCAAGCTACATGCCTATTGAGCCTAATGCAGTTAAGAAAATCTCTATAAATTGTTAAAAAGACACAAGAAGGGCTCTGTTCTTCAATTCAAAATATCCATCAACTGTAAAAAAGACACAATAAGGGATCTGCCAATCCTTATATTTACTATGCCACACATTACTAAATATTACCAACCAGAATTAAAATCATATCAGTCTAAGCAACATATCAAAAAATAAACTTATATAGTTATATATAACTTGGTTATAAAATAAATTGTCATTTGTTTCCATTTCACGTACTCTTTCCTTGACGCCAAAAAAAAAATAATGATTGCAATAGTAAGCAAAATATAAAATTATTAATCATCTATAATAATGCAATACCAAGCAGCACCCTAAAAAAATGCCACACCTGTGAGCTCTGCACCTCAGACTTGAACTTGGAGAGTTTAGCATCTTGAGCCATCTCACTCTGCAATCAAAAAATCACTCACACCATGCATAAACTATTCCTCCCACAAGAACTATAAAAAATAATAATAATAAAAGAAACAAAAATGCACCATCTGCATCTGCACATTAGACACAAATGACTGCGACACATTCTCCAAACTATCATTTAGAACTTCTGTGATAGCCGAGGTAATCGCTTCGGCCTGATTGGACGGCACACCCTGCCCCTCCAACCTTCTCACCTGCCAACAAATCAAGCAAAATTAGCATAATCCCTCTCATAAGCATTATATCAGACACCCGACCTTGACATAAACTCCATAAAAGAGAGAGAGAGCCAAATAAACAGAAACTCACCAGTCCCAGGGTATCCACCAGAAACGCACGCTTCCCATTTCCTTTCGACTTGGCCAGTTCCGACAACTCGCGGACTTGATTACTCGAGGATGCCAACGCCATCCATCCTCTCCGTCGAGCAATCACTGCCGCCGCCATCCAAATCTCCTTTTAAGCACAGTTAAGGGGCTGTTTGGCAACAGGATTTATGCTAAATTCTGCCAAACGGGATTTGAGCACCCAGTATAAATCCTCCATTGCCCATATTTTGCCATAAATCCCGGATTTATTAAATCCTGTAGTTCGGCGGATTTACGGGATTTGGCCGAAGAAGCGCGCGAAAGGGATAAAGTTGGTTACCTTCGCAACGAGCAAGCTCCCGTCGTGACTTCCGATCCGACGTCGTCGAAGGAGGCGAAGAAGCTTCTTTAGCGGCTCTTTCAACACACCGCTTCACGCGAAGCCTTCAAAATTCACGTGAAGACCGCGAGGCCGAAGCAGGCGCGAAGAAATGGCGACGTGGTAAAAGCAACAGTAACGAAGAAATGGAGACGATGAAAAGCAAACCCTAGATTAATTAATTAATTATAATTATAAAATAAAATAAATAGTTTTAATTTAATATAATAAATATAAATAATTATTATATATTAACAATATAAATAATAATTAAACAATTAATTAAGTTAGTAAAATATTTAATATTTAATGAGATAATTAATTATTAAAATATTTAAAGAATACTTTAAAAATAAATTAAATCATTATAAGGAGTATTAGTTAATAAGTTATTTTAAAAAAATAATTAACTAATTAATTAGAAATTATTAAAATTTTATTCTCTCTTTCTTAGATTGAGGTGGAATTATTGGTCAGGTCATTCAAACACAGCTTACCACTTCGATAATTCATGTGAGAAGTACTGAAAGGCAGTATTGAGCTCGTGTGTACTGTACTAAGTACCAAAGATACTGAGCTCGGTATCTGCAGCAGTTCTGAGCTCGTGATCTATTCGGTACTGCTCAGTACGAGAGGTGAGGTGTGTGCGCTTTTATTGGGCTCCGAACACATACGGTGACTCTGACCCATAATTTCCCCAGAATTGAGGAGGCTACAGTTGTGTGCTGTGAAAAATTTTATTTCCGAATGTTCCGTAGTCCCCATATATACTAAAGAGAACCTTTTTCTTTTGTAAGTTTAGCTTTACATCTCTCTTTATATTCAAAATTAAATAACTATGTTTGATATTTTTAGAAATATGCTCAAAATTTTTATTCTGGTTAAAATATCTCTAACTATACTAATATTTCAATGTATGTGAGGGAAAATACAACAATTGTTTATTTGGGCTTTCTTCACTTATATATATAGCTATACTCATTTACAACTTTCTTTATATTCTATACTCGTCTAAATTTATTAACTTACGAGAGATTTTTTATTATATAATGTGGATTAGGTCATTTTAACGAAGATCTAACATAGAGCTAAAATGAGTGTCAAGCAATTTTTAATTAATTTTACATGCAAATGATATTTTTTAAATATTTTATTAATTAATTTTACAGCATAGTTTCCATAAAAAATAAATGTTCGCAAATTTTAAAGTTAAATTAAAATGTTTCAAATTTTGAAGACATTAGCGCTTGTAAAATGTTAATATTCACATAACATATTTAAAAAGAATACATTTGTTATAATTTCAAAAGATAAAATAACATATTATGAATATTTACATATGAAATACAAAAACTATTATTGAAAATATAAAATCAGGAAAGTAATTAAATATTTATAGAAATGCGTTACTAATATTTTTTTGGGAAAAATTGGGGCTTCGTCCGTATATTGATATACCAAAAATGATAGGCTTACAAAAAGAGCCTAGAACTAAAACAGAATTACAACCTCAAGGGGCCAAAATGAGAAAACAAAATTGGTGTAAAACCCAAAAAGATCCAAAAAAGAATCAGAACATTAAGGACCTAGGACTCAGGTATAAAGGAATCCACTCAGGGCACAAACCATCATAGCAAAGCTCAAACGCCCAGCAGAAAACAAGCCAACAGAAATAAGTTACCCTGGTTGCCAAAAAGCCTCAGCCCGAGACGGAAAAGCAGGGTGCATATGAATCATGCCAGACCAAAATGAAAAATCGCAAGAGCAATGAAAATGGCCATCCAGAGGGCAACGAGCGGGTTCCTCTCATCATCGTCCCGTAATACCCAATGAATCCACATCTCCATTGAAACACTTAGGGAAAGTAGTACGGAGCACCTCAGAGGAATTCCAATTTGAAACTTTGTGAGAAATAGCCCAAACAATCTTTTTTAACAGCTCAAGATGTGACATACGAGAACCAGTGAATCTTCGCTCATTCCGTTCTCTCCACAAAAAGTAGATAACACAACAAACAATAAAATAACAAAAAATATTCTCCACCGCATTAAAAATGCAAATCTCATCCAGAAATTCAAAAAGCTGCAGTAGAGATGGCCTAAAGAGAAAGCAGTTAAGAACCGGGAGAAGCGCAGAAAGAACATCAAAAGAGAAGTCGCAAAGGAAGAATAAATGAGAAGTACTTTCCTCATCCCTTAAACATAAAGGGCAAGTGGGTTCAATGAAAATATTCCTCTTTGCTAAAACATCCGCCGTCTTAAGCCCATTATTAAGCAACAGCCATGTGTAAGATGAGTGCCTAAGAGCTGACCTTTTATGCCAAATATATTTAGCCCACGGCACTCTATGCAGTCCCTCAAAGTAATGAAGCCTAAAAGTTTTGAATAATGAGGTCTTAAGGTTATCTTATTTCTCCAAGAAAGAGGAGCAGTGGGTTCACGAGATAGAGGAATAACATAAATCAGTTGCTGCACATTGTTTGGGATAAAATCTGATAAGCACCAAAACCCCCCAGAAGTGTAATACCTCAAGCTATCAGGATACCCAAACAAAGGAGGAAAGAAATCAACAACGCATTTCCCCCCTAGCCAAGGGTCCCAAAAAACGATAAATTGCAGTCAATAGAAGAAACAATAAATTGAATATCATCCTTGATAAGCCCAGCAATTCCGAGAATAAACTTCCAGAATTTCGAAGTTTTAGGAGAAGAGGATTTCCAAGGGGAAGTATATTTTGTCATGACCCAACCCGACCAGAACGAGTCCCATCGCGTCGAGTCGTGACAGATGAATCCATGATCTAACTTTGGAATTTGGTTTCAGACTTTCTTTCGAATAATCATACAGAAAACACATAGCTACTATAAACTTCCAATATACAGAAATTCATCTAATATTTCTTCTCATTCTTCAAAATAATCATATACATTACAGTGCATGGCTATAACAGAAAATACATAACAGAACAGAAAAATCGTGACTGTACAAAAATCAATAGTACAAAAATACATAATCTCAGATCAGACACGAAACAACTAGTCCAAAACTTCTTTCCCTTTCCCAGAACCTGAAAGCCACACAAATAACAAGAATGAGCTAACAGCTCAGCAAGACTACACTAGCCAATCAAAATCTCCAGAAACTCACATCAAAATCATCAGAACAGTTCATTCAAGTAGCCGTACAAAATTCAGATAATCATACAGAAACTCATATAATCAAACAGAATACAGATACTCGTACAAAACAGATAATCAAACAGAAATCAAATAACTGATACAGAAGAACTGAATTCATTTCATATAACAGAATTATTCAAATCAGATTTCAAATCAGAGTTCAGATCATATTTTAAATCACAGATCACAGAATCGTCCAATTCATAAAGCACACTGTCAAAGCAGATAAGGTCACATATCACATATCCCTGACCCAGACAGAATTTCAACGGATTATGCCCCCTTATGTCTCTCTTCCCTAACACAGACAGAATCTCAAAGGATTATGGCCTCTTATGCCTCCCTTGTGCTTACCATGGTTTAAAATTGCGCAATATGAGGCTCGCCTTGAGGCCCGCCTTTGCGCAATTCCAGTAAAAAATGCCTCGATGCTTACGCCTCGAGTTTTTTTTAATGAGGCTTGCGCCTCAACTTGGTTGAGGCCCGCCTCGCCTCACTATCATGAGGCTTACGCTTCACGCTATATATATTAAAACTTACATAAATCTTTAAGTAAATGCCCGACATTGAACTCTATAGGAGAGGAGGAAGGGGAGAGAGCGGTTCACCATAATAATGATTTAAATGAAAAACCCCTTAGTGATGACAGTGCTGATGACTTATGAGTTCTTATGTGATATGTCATTGCTATTTATTTTTGGAAATCGGAATTCTGTGTTAATTGAAATAATACTGGGATTTCAGAAAGATAGAATTTTGAGTTGAATTATATTTCATATTGTCTTATTATTGAGATATTTTGATTTCACTTCATATCTTATGCTTTTTTATGTTTTATATTATTCACTCATTAGTATATAACAAATTTATCATTTTATATTTACGCAATCTTTTGATTGTGAGGCTTACGCCTCAAAACGCCTTGAGGTTTACGCCTCGCCTCACGAATAAAAAACGCCTCAATACTCGAATACGTAATTTTAAACATTGGTGCTTACAACACCAGAATATATCAAATCAGATCAGAATTTATTTTCAGATTCCCGGACCTTGACAGAATCTCAAAGGATTCCGACCCCTTATAACTCCCTTCTGATAGCATTCAAACACATCAAATCGTCAAATTAAGAGAAATCAGATTACATTAGAAGAATTGTCAGCGGCATAACAGCAGTCCACAGAAGTTTCAACATATCAAATTCACAGTTTCAGAAAATTATCAAATTACCACATATAGTGTAAAACATCATTTTAAGACTTTCATGATACTGAAGCAATATTTTCTAACATCCAGATAATTTTCTATTCCATAAAAACTCCACATAATTCAAACTACTCGGTGAAACTTTCCATAAAATACTCAAAACGTGCAAAAACATCATATCTACAACATACCAAAAGTTACGTGGTAAAAATTTCGTCGATACAAAGATAGATCACTTTTAGGCTAACGGAAACGAAAATCGAAACAAGAAATCCGTCAAAAATCACATTTCTGAAAATTGAGAAAGGCATAATGTGTCTTACCTCGAGTAGATCAACTTTTCCCACTACGGCGACATACGAAAACGGACCAAAGTCGCCCAAAATCCACTTTTCTTCCTCTTTCTCTGTTTTTTCTCTCTCCTCAGCTTCCTATCTCTTCAAAAATGACACTGTTCAGATATTTATCAAACAGGATCGTCAGGACGATGTCCCAGATCATCCCGGGACGATCTCCTCTAGACAAAAATCGTACAGACGAAAATCAATTCCAATTCTTTCGTCCCTGGACGAGTTGCTCTCTGGAAAAATTTCGTACGGACGAACCTACCTTCGTCCTGGGTCGAATCTCTCTGTCACCAAATTTATAACTGATTGTCCCGGACGAACTTCACTTTGTCCGGACGAACCTGGAAGGAAAACAAAGAAAATTGGCTTTCACATATTTAACTTTGAGCCAGTCAAAAACCACAGCATTGGTGTTGTACATTCTCCA